GCATTATAAAACCACCTTTTCTAAGGTATTTTTTTAAGCTTTTATAATACAACTATATTGATATTTGTGTAGGCTATAATCACTGTATTAATTATGAGGGGGAAAAGAGCGTATTATTCCTCTGTTTCTCTAGGACATTGGTAAAACATTATGGCTAAAATAGGTTGTACTTTTCTCAGAAATAGTATTATGTAAAATATGGCACTTTAGCCTGCTAATACACTTTGTGGGGAAAATAAGGATTTTTTTTTTCAAGTGGTTTGACAGGGTACAGAAGGCAAACTACATTTTTAAGGTTTAAAAATAAAAATTCCAGAAGACTGGAGTCATTTAATGTATGTCCCAATCTACTTGGACATTAACTTCCCAAATTTTGGCTCTCTGTAAAGTAGGTTTTCATATATAAGCTTATGTTCAAAAAAAAAAAAAAAAAAAAATTAGTTGCTTAGAATCCTATAGTCTAAAACTGCAATTTAGTCTCCAAACAACTGTTTGGAGACATCTAACATCTGTTAGCTGAAGAAAGTGCATGGCTTGAAAATTAGTCTTGCTTTTGATAAGCTGTACTGCAGTGAGCCTTCTGGTAACTTTGTGCATTTCTTTTCAGTGGAGAAAATCCTTTTGCCACCGTGAAACTCAGACCAACGGTAACAAATGACAGATCAGCACCAATTATTCGATGAATATAACTCCTATGACTCTACCTCCTCCTTCTAAACATCAGTTTCAGTAATGACAACTGCTATCTAAAGTTGTTCTAAAAAAAAAAAACTATTTAAATGTAATTACTGTACAGTAGAATCATACTGGAATAGATTTCTGATTTTTAAAAATCTGTACTTTCTAATGAGGTAACTGCTTTGAGCAAATGTTTGAGCATTTTGGCTTGATTTCGCAGTATGCTGGTTTTCATAGCGTGACAGAATTGTGAAAAATACTAGGGATAGTCTGGATGCTCTAGTATGCCAGATTAATTAATAGCTCACAACAATCAATCTTTAGCATTTGTTTTTGTTTGTTTTTTTTTTTTTTTGGAAACTGAAGTGGTAAGTTCTAGAAGATAAGTCTGCATATGCCACTTACTTAAAGCTGATTTTTTTTTCAATATTACAACAATATTACAACTGCCTTAATATCCCAGAGTAGAGAATTGCCTGTGTAAAGTGATTATAATTATAGTTTATTATTTTTAAGAAAGCCACCCTAGGTTATAAATAAATATTTAATCCTCTAAGACTAGGCATGTCTACAATGCTCTGCTTAATGGTCACAGATACAAATTTTTTTCATTTGTATTAACACAAACTTATGTATAAGTAAGTCAAATGTTGTACTGTAAGCACATTCCTCAGTGGTAACGTCTTTAAAACACTTTGACAAACTTTCGTCTTATAAAAATGTCTTAATTAAAATAGTGCCATGATTTTTCTTCAAATGCTAACACAAAAAGCTGCCTTTGAAGTTACTGCATCACTGCAGCCCTTCACAAGAGACAACAGAGGAAGTTTAAGTAAGTAAGTGTTTTTTTTAGTTAAGGAGCCTAGCACTGGCATTAATGCTGGCAGTGTATAGTAGCTTAGCTAAGTGAAATATAGCTTCTGAAAGTGCATAACTCTGGGTCTGAAGTTGTTACCTCAGGTGCCAATCTCTTAAATCATGTGGAATTAGTCTGAGAGATTTTTTTTTTTTCCATACTGTAATAGTCTTAGAAACTGACTTAGAAACTTCATTCTGCATTAGTGTTGAATGCTTTATCATGGTACAGGTCACATGATCTTTCCCATGTACTGTATAAAGTCTTATCTTTTGAACAGCCCTAATCATGAATCTGTACTCTATCAGAATTGCTACATTCTACCTTACATATGTACATTCCCCCTGCAGCATCTCTTGGATGTTTTGTTGGGCCGTGCTTCTACTGCTTGAATTCAAGTCATGATAAATGCCTTTCAGTTAGTTACACTGTTTTTTTGATACCAAGTATGTGCATGTGATGACTGCAGAGGTAGAGTGTACTCACTCCATCTCCTCTGCTCACTCTCCCTTTCAGGATCAAGGCTGAGGATACTTCATTTGCTAGGTAATCTTGCACAAAGATCTATCGTCATATTTCAAAATACTAACCATTTAAGAGTGCAATTTATACTCCAGCCAATTTGCTAAACCATGCTAGCTAGTTAGAAGCAAATCAAACTATACTGTATAAGCCTTCAACAGTTTAACAGTAAATTAAATATTTTGACATGCAGAAGTACCTTTATCTGCTGGAAACTAGTGTTTGGCATTACCACAGTTCTCCGTTCACATAAGGGCTCCCTGCTACACCATCAGAAATTGCTTTTGGCTGTGGGTCTGGTATTAATTCACACAGTGCTGGGAAGCTGCTGCAGTAGCACATGGATCTCTGCTATTGCAAACCCCCTGGAGTAGTGATTGTCCCTATAAGCAAAGACTTTGCTAATTAGGAGGGGGGGGGGGTCCTCACTTTGTCTGTTACAGCTAAATTCTTCAGAAGAGGGAAAGGAGATATTTAACCACATCTATTAGGATGATGGGAAAAAGAGCTGTTAAACAGTTTTCTTTAAAGAGGTGTAAGGTGAAGAGATGTAACAGGTAGCTTGAACACACACAGCCCCCCCCACACACACACATCATAAGGATTCTGAGAAACATTCATCCTACTTTGTAGCTAAAATTAGTCTGATACTGAAGTTAACTAAGTTATGTGTTATCAGATATAAACTAGTCACATACTTAATAATCTGGCCACAAATTGAGGATTGCAAAAAGAAAAGCAGTTTTATTTAGTTTTTCAAGAGGTGCCACTAAACATGGAAAACAAGTTCAGTTTTCATGTTTTGCAATGCACATGCTCATAAAAGATTAAGTTTAAATTACATGCAAGAGACTAAATTTCTTCACACTTTACAAAACAGGTCTGAAGCAAATAAAATGATTGTACAGGACATTTACATTAGAAAGAGTATGCTTAACAGTTGTAGCTTCCATAAGCACATCCACATTCATCCCCTTAGCCAAAAGCTGCCCCACAATTAGGGCATCTTCGCTGTCTCAGTGCAAGACAGAACAGAATCCCAATTGGAAAGAATACAATGGCACACAAAACACCGAGACAGGTGAAGGTGTCCTCCAACACGCCAACCCTGCAAAAATGGAAAACAGACTGAGTCAAGGGCATTCTACATTTGACCCAAAGTTACCATATTGATCTTGCAGTAGCTAAAATGCCACTATTTCAGAAAGCAAGATGAAGTTGAGTTGTTAAAAGGCTCTTATTTGCACAGCTTGCAGCAGGCTGCTTTTGAATTATACTGTTTAAAGAATACACAAGTTTGCAGGTGCTCAGAGCAAGGGATGTAAATAAGAAATCTAAGTGCAGACTAGCTGCTTCATTCCAGACTGACCCTTTTCCTATCACTGCCGTCCTGGGCTGGTACTTAGAACAGAGCATAGCCATCACAAAGCTGAGCAGATGTATTTAACTATAACCACTGGGTAATTCAGGCACACTGAAAGCATACAGGTTTAGCACCATATATACAGTGGGAACTAGATTAAGTCACCTGCATTCTCAAATAGGAAAAGGCTTAACATGAAAGCCTCCGCTACTGCAGCCTTCTGATGTAAATACTGTTACAAGCTGTCCTTGAAGAATCTGAAACTCAGTGCTCTTTTCCTCTATTCTTGCATCCCTCTCCATGTTATTACACAGAAATAGAATTTAACATTCGGGACAGAAGCTGTAAGCAAGTATCAAACATTATAACCTTGATAACCCTTCTTGAGCTCAAGTTTTTTTTCTTATAGGTAAGGCTCTACCTTTCTAGAATTAAATCCTACAGTCACTAAATAACTATTTCAGTAAAGAGAAAACAGTTCTGCTTTTAAAATAATTTATTGAATGCCAAAAATTTAACTGAACAATGGTATACCGATTACTGCAAGTCAACCAAACAACTCCATTCCTCAGCTGTTTAGGTCTTTCACAACAGGCAGCAGTCATGCTTGTGTCATATCCTCCGTCTACCTTGTTTCTACAATATCCTGCTGTGAATCCTCTCAGCTTGTTCGACCTCAAGTCCCACACAGGATAAATGTGGGCAAGAGCTCTTTCAGAAAAAAAAAAAAAAGAATAAATAAAATCTTAGTTTCTCTGAATGTCTTGATCTGATGATTAGGTGCTTTTTCTCAGCTTTTTCCTATGGGAAAGATCTGAATGGACAGAGTTGTGTAAGACTGGTTAAGGGCTTCTGATGAAATATCTAGCTCATGCTTTAGCTAAGCAAGTTAAAACTCGGTAATTGTGCATTTTTAGTGTAAATCAGTGTTTCATCAGCTAGGCTTGTCACTAAGGAAAGCTAACAGTTTTCTGCTTTGCTTCCACGAAGGTCCACTGGTGGTGAGCGAGCTCAAATAGCAGCTGGAAATGAATTAGAAACCAGAGGAGAATATTTAGTTGCTCGTGCCCAGAAATTCCTGGGTTCCTGTTCCGTTCTAGAGCAAATAGTAGTAGTATACTGCATAGAAGAACAGATAGTATTTTACAGAGAGCAAAGTTAAATATTTCCAAGTAATCAGCTGACAAAAGATGATGTTTTCACAATATCTGGCTTTTCAGTTCTGTGAAAAGAATCAAGACTTGCTATTTAAGCCATGTGATCTTCTAAACTGCCTATCTGGCAGAAAGTCAAGTGACAGAAGAAAAACATTTAAAGCAGAAGTAATACTACAGTTGTTTCATTTGCAATAGCAAAGGTTATATAAGCAAGCAGTCTTAATGTAAATGATCTACGTTTCTTTAGCACAAAGGCACAAAAAGGCCTTTCTGCTATGGAAGCACATTTGATGAAAACAAGTGATAGCAATGGTTCAGGTGGATTAAAGTGGTTTAAGTGGAGAATTTTGGCTCTGTCATAACAGTAGTTTTAAATTAATTACTAGCATAATTTATGTTTGATATACCATGAGTCAACACGTGCCTCCAATATGAAGCAGCACTCCAAAGTTTAGGTGAGAGTCCTTCTGTTGTACATGCCATTCAGTGACTCAAGGCTTCCTATCCCAGTCTAAAGCAATTCCAATCTAATTATCAACTCAATGTACAGTGAAATCCTGAGGAAGCTATCTGGATATATAGTAGTAGGCTTCCTTATACCTGTTTAGCACTCAAGCCATTTATTAGTCCAGCTACTCCCTAAAATCATGACTTGAATTTCTTGTCTTACTGAATCAAGATTGCCAGAAACCAGACTCCCAAAGAGGGTACAAGAGTCCCTCACAAAAGCTTTTTCTCCTCTCCTATTTGGTACAGGGAGGTCAGTCTAGAAATTGTATGAGAATGTTTTGGAACTGTCTCATCCAAAGCACTACCATAGTTGGTAGGTGTCAGCAGCCTGCTGCCTAGAACATCCTTTGCTTCCTGAGACCGCCTGGTTCAAAAGGGAAGTGCTTTTTCTGGCTTTTTGTACAAGTTCTAGAATTTAGAAAGGAAAAGGATACATCTGTTTGATAACAGCTTACTAAACCAAGATCTACTTTTAGTTATACCAGCCTACTGCATTGAGCTTCAGAGCGTCTTCTGTTGCAGAGAATACAGAGAATCTTGTCACATTCAGGTACAGGAAAATGACAATAAAGCTGTTCATCTGATAAATTTCAACCCAATTACAAGCCACAGAAGCAATCAAGAAACACTTGACCTAATTTCTGATTAAAGCTGATAAGAGTTTAATTTTAGCAGAAGCCATAGATTATTGTTGACCATGACACAAAGTATAGAACTGCTAGCACTTCGCAGAACCGCTCAGGTTAAGACAAGACAGGAGGTCACCTAGTCCTACCTCTTACTGAAAGCAGAATAACACTGAATTCAGACCAGGTTGTTTAGGGCTTTGTCCAGTCAAATCTTGTAAAGCTGCAAGGAAGAGAATTCTAGAACCTCTTTGGGCGACCTGTTCCAGTGCTTAATATTTTTGCACTCTGAGGATAATTATCTTCATATCCAGTTAGAAGCTTTCCTGTTTCAATTTATGATCACTCTCTCTCATTTTCCTGCCATGTACACCTCAGCAAAGAATCTAACTCCATCTTCTCAGTGATGTGCTCCCAGGTACCAGAAGGCTGCTGTTAACCTGTTAACTCCCCCCAGACCATCTCTTGGTGTGGAGTTCCCCCTACACACACTTTCGGGGATGGAGGATAACACACATTTGCTGTGAAAATGATTACAAATGTTGGCTCCGGATAACACACATTTGCTGTGAAAATGATTACAAATGTTGGCTCCTGTCTCAGACCTGCTGCAGACTGTTCAGAGCTGCGCTGAGGCAGAACAGTTCTTTCTTTTAGATGAAAGTATGGCAGAGAAAACAAGTGTCACTTGGCAGTTTTGAGGGTTTCTATTGTAGCTTTTAGCCTCAGAGTGCTCCCAGACTAGACAGATTACTACTGTGTATTGAACAAAATTGACAACTGCTACAGGCAAAGACATCCAGATGAACAGGCAGGATGCGAATCTCAGGGTTGAAGATGCATAAGAATTCTGCCTCTCCTAATCCACTCAGGTGATCCTGAGCTGACCTAAAAGCAACAAAATCCAGTAAGGAGTCCATGCTCCTAGCCAAAAGGTTGGTTTCAGTCTGTTACTTCCAATTACTACACACATTGCCAATACCTGGTTCCTGCAGCTGCCAGCACGTTCTCTCCTGTGGTCACAGATCCCTCTTAAGAGGTCATGAAACAATATAATTAACAGGCAGAGGCCTAGGTGCACTGGTCATTTAGGACTTGACCACTTCAGGAGGATCAGAGAGACTTAACAATTCTAGCTCTAGATATACAATGAAACAGTCCTTTCAGTATCAACACTTCACTGTGGAAGGTGCCAATTAGATAAGTATGTACAGGACTATACTAGCTAGTCACACTCAGACTTCTTAAGTCGCCGGAACATATTAGAGATGCAGAACTACTGCCATAAGCTGTTTAACAAGTTTACTTCTGGTACCCAGAAAAATCCAAAGGCCAAACATGCATCACTTAAAATATCCCTCAGTAAGTGTTTCCCACTTCTACTTCTAGACGTGATGTTCCCTTAGAGCTGTATTAGAACCTGCTATTGTGCCGTTTCAGCACAGCATGTCGTATGACACAGGACCCATATGACAGCAGAAGAATTTCTGGATGGACTTTTAATTTCAGAACCTGGCTTCTTTCTGCAGTGCGCTATCTGAACATCCCCCAGAATGAAGACAGCCAGAAAAGTCCACATATTCAGACTTAAGAAACTTGAGCAGCTACACTAAATAGTCATAATTCGGAGTTTTAACAAAACACTTGAGTAAGATGCGTCCTCTTAGATTCCCTGATGCAGTGAAAGCCAACATAAACAGAGCTACAGTGACCTTGAAATACATGCTTCAACAGGCAAGGTGCCAATGCCAACGAGTTGTTGCTTCCCTACAAGGCAGGCACGGACAACCTCTTGTACAAGTGAACAGAATGAAGGAAGGTGCAGGATTCAGACCTCTCCCCTATTGCAATTGCCTAAAATACTACATCTTGATTAAATTTAAGAGCCATTCCCCTTCCTCTGAAACATCACTGAAAGCTAAAGGCTTTTCAAAGTGTTCTTGATACTGTTTATGCAACTTAACGTTAAGTTTAAGCTTCCAACCTCAGTCCCCTCCCTTTGATAAACTTACTTTACTTCTGTTTACGGAGTTCTTGCAATAGCAGTTAATTTCACATTTGGTGTAAAGGTATTGTCAGACTACAGTTGACCCCAGCAGTATTTTTATACTTCCATATCCCGAGTACGACTGCATTAAGGAAACAAGTTAAGAGGTAGAATAGCACTCAAGTCACCACACGGATTCTTGCCTCAAAACACGAGTGTCCTGAGCTCATTTTGTTGTTGCCTGTGCTTCCTGCTGTGGCTACTCCTGCCAATTCAGCAGTGTCACCCCTCTGCTCCCTGCAAGTTAGGCATGCGCACTACCAAAGTTACATCCTTCTGTCAGTGTAAGCACTTTAATCTCATGTTGCTGCTGCAACTGTTCTGAAACACTGATATCTGTGTGTCCAGAGACGTTCTAACTCAAAGCAATGATAGATCAGCTCTGCAAAATAATGTTCAGCTATT